CCTCCTGAGTAGCTAGGATTACAGGCGTGAGCCACCAGTGCCCAGCTTTGTCCAAGTTTTTATACAGCTTCTGGCTTAGAGAAAAATTCTGTTTTTAAAATTATTGTGTGTGCATGTTATAACTTTTAATCTTATATCAAGCTGATCCTTTATCTCATGTTTCTGAAGTATTCCAAAGAGAGATTCTACATGGAATTAGGCTTTGAGCACAGGAGAAAAATGTAGACCGACCTTCCTTCCTTCCTTCCTTCCTTCCTTCCTTCCTTCCTTCCTTCCTTCCTTCCTTCCTTCCTTCCTTCCTTCCTTCCTTCCTTTCCTTCCCTCCCTCCCTCCCTCCCTCCCTCTCCCTCTCCCTCTCCCTCTCCCTCTCCCTCTCTCTCTCTGTCTTTCTTTCTTGCTAGTCCTGGGGCTTGAACTCAGGGCCTGGGCACTCTTATCACTTGAACCAGAGCACCACTTCCAGCTTTTCCTGTTTATCTGGTACTGAGGAATCTAACCCAGGGCTTCATGCATGCTAGGCAAACACTCTACCACTAAGCCACATTCCCAGCCAAAAAAATGTACCTTTCTAACTACATTTTCAATATATTATTTTACCTGTCCCCATTGATGGGTATTTTACTTTCTTTGTGGTGCTAGGGATTGAACCTAGGATCTCACACATAGTAGGCAAGTATTGTAGTGTGCATGCCACATAGCCATACCCCAAATCACTGAGCTATGTACCATACTACAATTCTGTCTTTAAACCATATTAATCTTGATACCTTCTCTTAAAGCAGTATTTAATCATAGAGATTAACTGACAATTTCTTTGATCTCCTTAGCCTTCTAGGATATAGATTGGAACAACATTTTTAGGCCTTTGAGTCACCTTTGAGTCTCTTAATCCTTTGTGGGAAGGAATTTTACTATTAACTTTCAGATCGGTTTTCATACATTTTGCCTTTCATTATGAGGAAAAGACGATGCTTCCTGAGTTTAAGTGGAGAACAGACATTGAAATTGGTTACTTCATTTTTCAGGTGCCAAACTTTTCTGTCCTAATAAATTCTATAAAAGAATTATAAGTCATGTCTCATAAGGGTACCTAATGAGCATATCAATTACAATTTTAAGAAACATCCTTTCATTAATTTATAATGATCATTGGCATAGTGTCTCTCATCTGGACACCCAAGTATCTTTGGAAAAATCATTTTCATTGCAATGCTCAATGGCACTCCCAGTTTGGTTTCCTTCTCTTATAATCCATTAAGCACCTGATAATGAATATTCTTAAGTACTTTTCAGTTTAAAAAGACTGGTACATACATCTCCTGTTGATGATGCCGAAAGTATATCCAAAGACAATGAGGTCACATGCTTTTATTACTTCTTTTTCAATTTAAAGGTTAGCCATATTAGCTTCATACAACTATTTTTCTGAAACTATGGGATAAAGGAAGATATTTCTTCCACTGGACTATCCTGCCTTGTGTTTTGTTTTAAATTTGTATGTTTTTCATAAAATTTAAGCAGTGACTAGTCAAGCATCTTTTGTTTGTGCCTGTAATTGTAACTATTGAAGAGACTGAGAACTAGAAGATACTGGTTCAAAGCCAGCCATGCAGAAAAGACTTCAAGACTCCATCCCCAATTAACCAGCAAAATGCTAGGCTTGAGTCATGCCTGAAGTGGTAGAATGCCAACCATGAACAAAAAAGCCAAGTGAATGTGTGAGACTGAGTTTAAACCTTTATATAAGCATACATAGTGCCTGCGCATGCACATGCACACATGCATACACACAAATTAAGCAGTGACAGAAATAGTAAAAATATTTTCTAAAGTTTGAAATGAAAGTGAAACCTCAAAAATTTCATCTTTCAGAGAAAATAGTCATCCTTATAGATGAGTCTCTGTACATGTACCTACCTCAATGTTCAATTCATATTTTTATGGACTGACCTAGAGATGAAGTAAGTGTGTTTGGAACCTGAAGCTACATCTGCAGGTCAGCACTAGAGAGCATTGAAACTCAGCTGTGTATGTCTTGGGCCCTATCTAGAACCTTCATCCAGCTCACTTATTGGCAATACATAATGAATTTATAAGAGCCTGTTTCATGCTACTTAATGAAATAATGGCTTCTATAGAAATCATCTTGTTTAATCTTTACAAAGAACTCTGGGAGTGGTATACCACTATACTATGCCTCAGAGGAAGAAATGACTCATCTATGTAAAGAATCTATATAGTTAGTACTTGCCCAGTTAGAATTCTCCCTTCAAAGGCCATAGTTTTATGTTGGTATATACACTGTGGTGTTTCTTACTAAATGAACTTATGTAAATAAAAGCTTTTTATTTTTAAAAGTCTGTATACATATGCACACACATATATACCTTTATATGTGATATATACTATTATGTCAATATATAGTATATGTATTATATATATGAGTAAACATGTTCCTGTTGTGCATTTGTACTGCCAGAAAGATTTTTTAAAAAAATTAAGAGCAAAGGAAATACTAAATCAATGAATAGAATACTTTCACTGAGGAATCTGAAAGTCCTGTCAGTATGACCAGTGATCAAATCACAAGTAACCTGGTGATAAAGTTCATTCTTCTGATTAAAGTAGTTTTTATATTTAGAAGAAGAAAATTGATTATATGATGAAATTAACAAACCCTTTTAATGGCCTGTGTCAAAAGCAGAAAATCTCACTTTCTATATCTAAACAACTTAGAGCTTTTGAAATGACTTGTAGATGAAAACAGTTTGACACCAAACATCCTGTAATGCAAGAGACACTTGTAGAGAAGGTGCCATTCAAAGGGTCATTGCCCCATTGGGAAGCACTCTTCTATGGGTCGTTTCCTTTCAAAGTCCGTTGCAGTGGAAATACTAAGAAATAGTCTTTAGGCAATTTCATTGCATGAACATCATAGAATGTGCTTACAAATTAAAGTGGCTATGATGTCACAAAATGTTATAATCTTACAGGACCACCTATATGGTCCATCGTTATATAGTATATGGCTGTATGTCCCCTAAAAGTTCTGAGAACAAGAGCTGTGAACTTTGTCTAATATTTTCTTTTTGTGCTGGTCCTGGGGCTTGAACTCTGGGCTTGGGTGCAGTCCCTGAGCTTTTTTTGCTCAAGACTAACACTACCACTTGAGCCCCAGCTCCACTTCTGGCTTTCTTGGTATTTAATTGCAGATAAGCATCTCCTGGGCTTTCCTTCTCAGGTTGGCTTTGAACAATGATCCTCAAATCTCCGCATCCTGAGTAGGTAGCTAGGATTACATGTGTGAACCACAGAGCCTTGCTTTTTTTTCCTTTTGAAGCACAATCTTAAATGTACACCTAGGGCTCACTATTGAATGGTAAGCATATATTTATGCTTATTTTTCAAGCTGCTGAAACATTTTCTTAATCTTGTCAAAGTGTAGTGATCAAAAATATATCTAACTCCAAAGATATTCTTCTGACTCTTACATCCACAGATCATCCCATTCCTTGTTAGCTATGAGGGATTTTCATATGTTTAATTTTCATTAGTTGAAGTTTTAGATACTTATAATGAGTCAAAAGCTATTATAAGATTTGCTAAAAATAAACCAAAGTTCCCCAACCACTAAGTCACTGCATTCAAACAGAGCTGAAGCCGGGCACCGGTGGCTCACGCCTGTAATCCTAGCTACTCAGGAAGCTGAGATCTGAGGATCACAGTTTAAAGCCAAGCCCTGGCAGGAAAGTCCAAAACCACTAGAAAATCAGAAGTGGTGCTGTGGCTCAAGAGGTAGAGCGCTTGCCTTGAGTTGAAGAGCACAGGGACAGCACCCAGGCCCAGAGTTCAAGCCCCACAACCATGAACACTGGTTTTTTTTTTTTTAGTCATCTTGGATCTTGAACTCTGGGCCTGGGTGCTGTCCCTGAGCTCTTCACCTTGAGACAAGTGCTCTACCACTTGAGCCACAGTACCACTTCCGGTTTTCTGGTGGTTAATTGGAGATGAGTCTCATTGAATTTCCTGCCTGGGCTGGCCTTGAATTGCAATCCTCAGATCTCAGCCTCCTGAGTAGCTAGGATTTACAGGCATGAGCCACCGGCGCCTAGCCTATGAATACTTCTTTTAGCAAGATATATATAAACAAACATGTTTACCAGGTACTTCTAGAAATCCAGCAAGACACAAACTACACTAACTTCTTATAATGCCAAACAGATAAACATGGTGGCAGTAATTAATAGAATGCAGAAACCAGCATGTTTTGGAGTGTAAACTGTCAAGCATTTTGTATAACTTGTACTTTGTGCTTATGTGTAGTAACAAAATTCAAATGATAAACTTTTGTACAAGCTTTCACTTAGGATGTATATAAACAATTCAATTACATTGGTAGTTTGGTTACATTTCTGTGTAGTGGCTTTATTTATATTTTTCTTTCTAAAAATAGTTTTCCATTTTCCTGATTTATTACTGTAATAGTTCTTTTTTATTGTTATTTTCATTTATAGGTATTTCTGCTACTAGAGTGTGTGTGCGCACGCATATTTGGATGGCTGTGAGAAAATGGTTTTATGTCAAGTCTTTAAAACCTATAGAGGATATTATGTCATTGTGGCTTTTAAATGCTAAGTAAGTTAATTGTGCATAGTTGGAAGGTCAGGCCACAATTATTTTAAAATCTGTACCCTGTTTCTCGACCTATATTTATATACCATTAAATACTTAACAGTGTATTCAAAACATTTATAGTGTCACAGCAGTTGACTGAAACAGTAAATTGAGATATTGTGATCTTGCTTTAGAATTGAGGTTAGCCCAGTGAATGGGACATAGATTTTTGGTTTGCTTTGTGAAAGATCCAGTTTGGAGATAACAGTGACTAATATTAGTAAGAAGCTTTTTCACCCATGACAAACAGGACTGATTACCCTATCTGTTTGAGAATATTTCATGTATTTAGTACACTTACTAACCTAACTTTCTTTTTCTTATAGCAAAACTGTACAATCTAAAGTGGACTGCATTTTGGTAAGTGAAATACCTAAATTTTTTTTTTTAATGTAGTAAGGCTTTTACCCCTGGATAAAAATCCCCTTCTTAGTAAATGCTGACTCAAAATAACTCCCCTTTAGTGAACACAATTTGGCATTTAGGTGTATAACCCTGTTGGATGAATTAGTTGTAAGCTACTTGCATTATTTTCCTATATCTCATCAATAAAGAAATCAATTTGAGGTAATTGCATAGTTGTGAATCTTACTGTCCTTTACTGAAAGATTACTTAAAGTACTTACTCGCACTGGCTATTTATTTTCCTGTCTACCAATTCTGTGAGAATGTGTTTAATGAAAAGATTTTAGATAGATGATAGATTACTTGTGTTATAGCAATTTTTTTGTGATTTTCTTGCTGGGCTGTAGGAGTTAAGCCACAGTGGTGGTTTAAATTATTCTTAGGGAACTCTATGAAATTTTGCTTAGAGAAAAGCCTTTAACAGACTTCATGTGTGAGACTTTTTTTTTTTTAACTATAATATACTTTTCATTTTTAGGCTTCAACTGTAAGGTTTTAAGGCACACACGTAGTATAAATATAGATGGTATTTGTGATTCCTGAGGTGGTCTCTAACCATTGGGGAGGAAGCCAGTTGCACTGACACTGACTTCTCTCAGAGAGTCTCTCTGGCTGCACCCCAGGCCTTAGAGCACTCAGTGGTGTTGCACCATTCCATTACCAGGTGTTGGCAGGTGTCATAATTCTTTTTCTTTACTTGTGATTTCACAACTTTTCCTTATCCTAGTTTGAGACCTATAAGCTAACTTGACTTTGTTTGAGCTTTAGTGTCTGGTGCTGAATCAGTATGTGATACCTTACCAATTATTATTTGTTAGCTTATAGATAGGAGAATAGATAAAAATGATTCATAGGAGGGTAATTTGATCATTTCTTTTCTCGAATAGAATAAATAATATATAGAGTAATATATAATAGGATAATATATAATAGATAAAATAAATAATACCTCAAGGATGATTTTGTAGAGTTATTCTTTCTTTCCTTTCCCTGACCCCTTCCTCCTGACTTCCTTTCTTTTCTAATGCCTTGCCTTGCCTTGCCTTACCTTTTCTTTCTTTCTTTCCTTCCTTCCTTCTTTTCTTTCTTTCTTTCTTTCTTTCTTTCTTTCTTTCTTTCTTTCTTTCTTTCTTTCTTTCTTTCTTTCTTTCTTTCTTTCTTTCTTTCTTTCTTTCTTTCTTCCTTTCTTTCTTTCGTCTGTTGTGGGTCTTGAACTCTGGGGCTGGGCGCTGTCCCTGAACTCTTCAGCTCAAAGCTAGTTACTACCACTTTGAGCCACTCCACTACTTCCGATTTTAAGAGTCTCACGGACTTTCCTGCCTGGGCTGGCTTTGAACTGTGGTCCTCAGATCTCAGCCTCCTGAGTAGCTAGGATTACAGGCGTGAGCCACTGGTATCTGGCTGTCCTTTCCTTTTAACTGTCCCTCCTTCCCTTCTTTTTTGTTATTGACTGACAACAGTCCTCCAAAAAGGGTAAACTTACTATTTCTTTTTTACAAATAAAGTAACTAATACTCCTAAATTCCATTGAAAAATTCATTGAAGACCTTTTGTCTGTTAATGATGCATGTAAAGAACATAGCAATGGAGGACTACTCATTTTTTCTCATAATTGAGAATAGAGAGGCTGAAAAGGACTAGTATAAATTATAAACCATGGCATTTAACTGAACGTGGTGGTCACACCTGTAATCCTAGCTACTTGGGGCAGAGATCAGAAGGATTGTAGTTCAAAACCAACCTGAGTAAAGTTAACAAGATTCTCATTTCAACAGTATAACCCCAACTACTGAGAAGGCATAGGTAGATCACAGTCTAAAGCGGAACCCAGATGGAATAATGAAAAATGAAGAAATAAAGGGGATGAAGAGGACTGGGGCCTGGTTCAAATAATAGAAAACTGTTTAGCACTTCCTAGCAAGGTTTAGTAAAGCCCTGAATTCAAACACCAGTACTACTAAAAAATAAATAAATTTAAAGGCATTTATAAAATACAGATTAAGGACAGAAGGGTTTAGTTTAGTTTTGCTTTGCTCTAGGTTTTTTATTTTGGTTGTGGGGCTTGAACTCAGGGCCTGGGAGCTGTTCCTGAGCCTTTTTGCTCAAAGCTAGTGCTCTGCCACTTCGAGCCACAGCTCAGGGACTTAAGTGCCTGGGCTGGCTTTGAACCATGATCCTCTGATCTCAGCCTCCTGGATAATTAGGATTAGAGGCATGAGCCACCAGTGCCCGGCTTGACAGAAGGGCTTTTTAAGAACAGCTTTGAAGAATTTTGAAGTGTTATAAAGTGTGTGTGTGTGTGTGTGTGTGTGTGTGTGTGTGTGTGTGTGTTATTCTGTGACATTTTTAATACTGTCTTAACCCAGGATGTTTAGTTATTATAATCAGGAAAGTAAGATCTCGCTCCTTAGGATCATTTCATTTGGTAACGTAGGCATTGAACCAGTAAACAAATAAGATATTGATAACTACTGTTACAGAATTTTAAACAAGACACAAAGAAGCAGGTTGATTGTGGCTAGGGTAAGTGAGCAGAGAGCTAGAGAAGAGGTCAGCCTAAATAATGATCTGAGACAACCTCCTAGACAGCTGCACAAAAATTCCAAAATAGAAATGGGGTAGTGATAGTTGAGGAGTGTTAGGACCCAGTGTGCTTACACTTTATGAGGAAAGGAGACAAAGGCTGCAAAAGTCAAGTGGACAGTAGTTAATACATGGCATGTTGACCTATGACAATCCCAAGTACATGGAGAGCCATGCAGGACAGCATGATCTGACTTTAAAAACATACTGTTGGAAGCATGGACAATAGCGGCCTGGAACGAAAGTACAGAAACAGACTTGCAACAGAAACACAGTGCAGAGCTCAGACCCTTGCTCTGTGAAGGCAGTGGAATATATTACATTGAAAAGAAGAGTTCCACGCACGTTTGAGATATGAAGCTTGCAGGCCTTGTTTCCTGGTATATTGAGTGTGAAAGGAGAAACAAGGAAGCAAGGATAACTCTTTGTTCTGCAACATTTCTTCTAGCATTGCCTTTCAGAAGGAAAGGAAAGTGAATTCTCTTAGTGTAGATTTATTTGTGAATGTCTTATTTTGCTTTTAGTCTTGAAGGATACCTTTTTTTTGTGGGGGGAGGGGTCCGGTTGTGGGGCCTGAACTCTGGGCCTGGGCGCTGTCCCTCAGCTCTTCAGCTCAAGGCTAGCGCTCTACCACTTGAACCACAGCGCCACTTCCCGCTTTTTGCTTTTTGCTTATGTGGTGCTGAGGAATCAAACCCAGGGCCTCTGGCATGCAAGGCAAGCGCTCTACCACTGAGCCACCTTCCCAGCCCTTGAAGGATACTTTTTGCTGGGAATAAATTCCTGGTTAATATTTTGTTTTTCTTTGGTTGCTTTGAGTGCATTACTTGGTTGCCTCCCAAACTTTGTTTCTGAGTACAAGTTAGCAGTTAATTCTATCACTTTTTCTGTATATGACAAATTATTTCTCCCTTGTTGCTGTCAGTGTTTATTTTGTTTATTATTTGTTCCCATATGGGCTCACTCTGGCTTCAACACTTGGACTCTTATGTGTGTGGTATTGATTGCTTGTGGCATCCTGTTTAAAATTTGTAGATTAGTTGTGGTTGTGGAGTTTAACATCATTATCTCCTGGAATACTTTCTCTGTTCTTTGAATTAACTTCCCTTCTAAAACTTGGATGGCATTTGTGTTGAGGTGACGTGTTATTCCGTTGATCTCCCAGGCTTACTTTTTCTTATCTTTTTCTGTATCCCTTATCTCTCTATTTACTAAGACTTTTTACCATGTGACTCATTTTCCCCAGGTTTTCCTCCATATGTTTGAAACATGGGCAGCCTCGTTTGGCAGCACTCCTGTTCAGGTCTTGGGAGCTAAGTCATGGCAAAAATAATGAAGACTCACAGTTACTACCTGAATTTGGGTGGTTTTCATATCACTTGCCAGACCCATGCAATTGTTTTTTCTTTTCTTTGTTTTGTTTTTTGTTGGTCGTGCAGCTTGAACTCTGGGCCTGGGTGCTGTCCCTCAACTCTTCAGCTCAAGGCGAGCACTCTACCGCTTGAGCCACAGTGCCACTTGCAGTTTTCTGGTGGTTAGTTGGAGATAAGAGTCTCACAGACTTTCCTGCCCAGACTGGCTTTGAACCACGATCTTCAGATCTCAGCCTCCTGAGTAGCTAGGATTACAGGCGTGAGCCACCAGCACCCAGCTGACCACTTTATTTTAAATTCTACTCCCAATACTTTTTATTCCCAGCATTTATCTTCATCGTGTAAACAAATTTCGTTTGTTGCCTAGAACATAGTGAGCACTCAATGCTGAATGACTGAATGGTCTCATTTAATTTTTAAACTTTCCAAATGTTAGTATAAATGAGAAACCTATTTTGTTATTGTGCTTACTGGTAACATGATTGTGTGAGAACTTAATGCTATCTGGATGCTAAGATACAGGATATCTATACTCTGACAACTAGACTAATACAGAACCTGGTCTTCTAGGAGAGGACGTCCTCTTAACGATCAATTTGAGTTGTTCACCCAAGTGAGTAAAATAAACAGTTCCTCGCTTATCTTCCCAGACATACCCTAGCAGTAAAGGATTCCCTTCCTCCCTTTCCTTCTTCACAGGAGAAAAAATGCTTTCTCCCTCAGATCTGTGCTGAAATGAATGCTTGGTTGTTGACCAAAGTTGTGACCCAGACTTGATAAACTTAACTTTGCAGTACTTAATTAAATTGTTGTTGTTGTTGTTGTTGATCATGGGACTTGAACTTGGGCCTGGGTGCTGACCCTGAGCTCTTTTGCTCCAGGCTAGTGCTCTAACACTTTGAGCCACAACTCCACTTCCTTTAGTTAAGATTTACCAGGCTGGGAAAGCTGAGTGTTAGAGTGCTTGCCTTGCATGAATGAGGCCCTGGGTTCAATTCC